AGCCCATTTGTTTATATTGGCTGTCTCTTTTAATTACCTCTTTCCCATTTTCTTCTTCCTGAAAGGACTTTGTAACTTCTGTTTTGAAAAATGCTGTATAGTTAGTTAGTCACTGTATGTTTTATTGTACATAAAAGCGCCCCGGCCACATGAACACACTAGATGCTAGTGTTTCAGTGAGGAAAGCAGGACATAACTTCTTACATATAACATTACATTGAAAAAAAAAACACTTTGTCTTGTGTCCAAAGCTTGACAGATAAAATCTGATACAAAAAGCCCACTGCTTAACATGCAACTCTATTATACTCTTTTATAATCATCCACCCTGAAGGACTCATCATCAACTCATGTAGCCCTGAAATCATCATATAATGACCAGTAAAACAAGAAATGGACCCCATTTTCATTTTTCTTGCTGAAATCAAATTAAAAAAAACATTTTCCTTCCAGAAACCATTTACCCTGTTTGTTAGCTAATGGTAGATCTTTGACTTTTTGACTAAATTGTAATAAGTAATGTATAAATAAAGTTTTACTGCTGGCTAGAAAGGTAATCTAATGTCTCTTCCAATATAAATTGAGTCACCGTCCACTTTTTTTTTTCACCCGTCAGGGAGGAGCAGTCCATGATTCATTAACGTGCTGATGAAGTAAAGTAAATTCTGACAATGGCCGGCATGTGTGCAGAAAAAAATAATTAAAAGCAAATACTGGGTTTGTTTTTAGTTAGAAATTAACAATTTTCCCTGTGAGTACTATGGCCCAATTTCCTGCTCAAAATGAATTCCTCAGAAGAGAGTGATTCTACTTAATTTTACCTCTCTGCTTTATGTCAACGCATCTTTTCTTGAGCAGGACATTACAGTACAGCACTGATGAAGGCGCCGTCCATGCTGAAGCTTTTATTGGTTTGCACCAATAATGTTGCTGTCATGTCTTTGTTTTTACTCATTTCAGTCATTCTATCTCTTCATCATTTGATCTTATTTCTAAGAGGTGCCTTAATCATCTGAAGACCTGATTACTCCTTTTCTCTGCAAATGAGAGACACACATTATCTATTCAAATGATCATCTGCTTCCTGTGTTTACTGAACTAGACCTTGACTCCTGATTTACGCATGAGAATCTACTGTCGTCGGGATGACTTGTTGCTTGTGATATGGGATATTAAGACTATGGTTTAACTCATAAAGTGGTTTCAGTGGTTGGGAACTGCAAGCAAGCGATTAGTCTGACTGCAAATGAGCCTTAATGTGCAACAGATTTCAAAGGCAGTTGTTGAAGGGAAGTGGTTGGACTAAGTGGAAAGGGGTAAAAGTAAAGTGCTAAAGTATCTGGGAAGTTGTTGGTTAAAACGCTGTGAAATTTGTAACAGTAAGGGGTGCATAAGAGTCAACGCAATGTTTAGATTATTGTAAGAAACTGACAACTCTTTCTCTGAATGTGTAAGGGACATACATAAATGAAAGTCACTCTAAACTGTCATTTTAGCACTAAAAGTCATTAAAAAAAAAACTCCAAAAAAAGAAACGATCCAATTACATTTATTGAGATTTTAAAAAGTAAAACGTAGCATCAAGTTTTTTCCTTTTTGGCACATTTTTCCTCCTTCCTGACAGCTTTATCATGTGACTTGCCGTGACCTACATAGAAAGGTCAGTCAGTCAGAGCTGGCATGGAATACGACTACAGTTCAGTGAATCTGGAGTTGACAAGTAGCCCTGGGCATCCTAATGAGATGAAAAGATTATATTAGTACGTCAAATATAATCTCTGAAAATAAAAGACGTAGGCCTGTATGTGTTTTCCTTTTTTTTTTCCATAAAAGAAGAAGTGGAGGTAGCAGGTAAGCTCAACAAGTCTCTGCTCGCCTTCTTTTCCCAGCTTTATTAGGTGTGTCAGAGGTGAATTACTCACACAGTCTCACAGTTGAGACAGAAATGTTTGACCAGTTACCATGTTGCCTGTGTTTTGGAAAACCTATGACAGGGAATGACACATTAAACAGGTGCATTGTGGTCTGATTGAAAAAGTGATAATTTCATGATGGTAGGCCATGGCTGTTTAAATGTCAGTGGTATTCATGTTTTTTCACCTTTATATTTTGAATTGTACTTTGTATAAATGGTTTACCTTCATAAAGGGGAGAGTTCATAAAATCAAGTGCATCCAATTTTAGATTGGACGCCTTTGATAATCCTCTGACAAACTCCAGCTCTGCAAACCTGCTCTGAGAAGATCTCCTACTCTGACAATTAAAGGTGAATAAAGTGAATGTGTGTGTTTAATAGCTCACGGCTGCCAAAACAAGCCCTGCGATGTGACACAACTGACAGAGCGACATAACATAAAAGAGAAACTGAGGGAGAGATTGAGAGAGAGGGGGCGCAGGGTGAATAACCTCCAATCAAAGCCTCAGACACAGGGAGGTGTTGCCTCAACCGTGTTCGACTGGTCATCAAAGGCTTTCGAAATCCTCCTCTTTCTTCAGCAATAACTCCTTCTCTTTTTCTGCCACCACCTCCTCCCCCTCCTCCTCCTCCCATTATCTACTCTCTCAGGCCCAAGCGTACAAGCTAACACGAGTAACTGAAGGCAGTTAAAGTCAACCGCTGTGAGGGCAGTGATCCACCGGGTTGACAGGTCTGGTTAAACAGGTTCTGAGGGGAGAGGCTGATACTTGTTTAACTGCTAGGTATGGCACACTGCTGCTGCTGCTGCTGCTGCTGCTGCTGCTGATGCCTCTGTAACATGTCGTCTGGCCTTTGTGAAACACTGGTTTCACCCACTGACCTCCAAAGCAAGACATATGGCTAATGCAGCACATAAGAGGACAAGTGTTGACACAATATATTGTTGTGATGTACTTTTTATTTTCGTAAATCCAACAATACGTCCGCTGTTTCAGTCAGCACTGGTTCGGTGTTACTATGGCTCAGACACTTAAAACACGTAAACAGACAGACCGCATGAATCAGCAGGGACTGGCAAGGCAAGTCATGATTAAGCAAGCTTGTGCTGCACATGCAAATCCCATCTGCAGTTTTGCATTGCTTCGTTTTCTCACAGACATCAAAGGAATCATCATCCGCAGTGTGAAACTCGTAGCACCGCATTTCCACAGGAGGAATACACCTTGAAATCAAAAGCAGATCGACACCTGCTCCAAACACAGGCGGTGGAAAAGGGAATGTCAGGGAACAGAAAGCTCAGGAAGGACGGGGGTGTTTTAGAGCAAACTATTCAGTATGTGTCAATAGTTTTCTAAGTTTAAACATAAACAAGCCATTTGTCTGCTCTCAGCTATCTTTGTTCATCACATGATGTGCTCTTGAGGTCTATGCCTTCGCTGAGCCACACAGCCTATTTGTGAAGCTAAGTGAGAGCAGATAATGATGGCTACTGTTCCCATTAGTTTGGGGATTTTTCTTTGCTGTTTATTAATAGGACAATTTTCCAACACATGACTTAACCATCGTCTGTGAAATACTGCTGAGGAGAGGGCTACAGAACAATAGTGCTATCCATTAGCAAAATATGTGTTTGTGTGTGTGTGTGTGTGTGTGTGTGTGTGTGTGTGTGTGTGTGTGTGTGTGTGTGTGTGTGTGTGTGTGTGTGTGTGTGTGTGTGTGTGTGTGTGTGTGGCCTAGGCAACATCACTGACTCACTAAATCAGACTTGAGTCTTTCATTTTATTTTTTATTTTTCCTGAAACTTTAAAACAGTTTTTTTTTTGGTTTTTTTGTTGTTTTTTTTTTTTAACATATCTTCAAAAAAAGTATATCATGCCCACTTCCTAACCTCTACTCAATAAAAAACTAACCCATTTATAAAAGTTTAACACATCATCATAAAAAGTTAAACCATACACCAGAATGATACCATTATTTACACAAGCCCATTAAATTACAACATAAATTAGAAAATATTTACATCCAGAACAAGACACTGGATAAAATTCTATGTTTGGAATTTAATGTCTAATTAAAAACATTTTTTTTAAAGAAAGAAATATGTACATTTACACACATTCTCACAACATGCATACACTCTGGCAGGACTGAACTGGTTGGTAGATTGGTGTTAACTTGGGGTTTTTAAATACTAAGGATGTTGAATACCTAACATAGTCACGAAAATAACATGTTCTTACTGCCAGGTATAAAATAAAGACTTACAATGGAAGCATTGCTATGTCTGTAATCCACATGAACACTGAAGAGGCTTCTATTATACCGACTTTAAAGTCTCTGGTTTTTGACCGAACACAAAAAATTGTCTTTTCTCATTCAGGCCTACATAAGATTCAAATCATCTCTCATGAACAAAGCACAATAACACTGTAGCCATTTTAAAGTGGTTGTACAAATCAAGCACACAAAAAAAGTAAAGAAAATGAAGTGGATTTTCTTCTCTCTCTTTCTCATATATAAAAATTGTCCTTTGCAAGTCCATTGAGACACAGGAAATCAGTGGATTTGCCTCCAGACGGAGCAGAAGGGGGGAAGCTGGGAGGAATTCACAGCCACAGCGACTCATCTTGAAATGATGTCCTCTAGGGAGAAAAAAAAAAAAAAAAACAGTATGCACTTTGTTCTCTTCGTCTTCTTGTCAACAGAGTGCAGGTCCCATGGTTGTAACATCGGCACATTGGCAACTGTATAGGGCTGCATAGTGGGTGCTATGATGTGGTGTGTATTCACAGGGGCTGCTCCCGTTGGGACCGGTCCGCGGGCGTTTATACGTAGGTGCCAAAACAGACTGATTTGCAGCCCAGTTGTGACAAGGTTTTAGAAATCCTCAACTTCTAAAAAATCTTATATAAATTTAACAGCGCAAGCACACATACACTCACGCGCAAATTCAGCTCTCGAAATGACAATACTAAATATTGATTTTGAAAAGGTCCAAAAAGGGCAGACAGGACAGCAAGATTAAGGGACTCGGGGTGGGGGGGTGGGGGGGTGCTCTCAAGTTCATAGAGATTCTCCTTTGAGCTCTCATTTCCTGTGCTTGTCCATTTTGTCGGTAGATTTGTTTCCACTGTCTGAGGATCCCTGGGTGTCGCTACCGGAGCTCAGGTACATCTTGTCCACTTGTTTGAGCGCCTCGTTCAGGTAGTTCTGAAGCGAGGTCATGGCGGCACAGATGGCCGGAGAGCCAAAGCCATGAGTGATGAGGCTGAAGTGGGTCAGGCAGCCTTGGATTCCAGGCTCCAGGATGGGCGCCGGCCGAGAGTTTCCCAGAGGTGAGCGATCCTGAGTGAGCAGGTCAGTGAACTCCTTGCAGATTTGCCTGAAGGTAGGAAAATAAAAAAAAAAAACAGACTGATTTAGGGGAGCAGAGAAAAATACTTAGATTAACTACACCTACTGATTCATTGTGGCCTGAGAACAAATTCCATAGATAACACTGCAGGTAAGTCAATGAGCAAAACATTCCAGTAATCCATGCAATTCTATGCAAAGTAGAGGCATGCATAAAGAACAGATTCTTACTTGGCAGCGAGGAGCATGTTCTTGCGAGAGTTAACCTCGTTGCGTTCTACGTGCGGCCTGCCAAGGTATTCTGCAATTGCCTTTGCAGGGAACTCTGTCTCACACACGTAACCAAAGTCTCTCGCTAAATGAACAGCTTCACCTAAAAGAAGAGGAATAAAGCACTGATGTGAGAGAAAGTCGTCTGTGAACCAAAGACTATGACAACACTGGTGATGAAGTGAAATTGGTTCTTGGTCTCAAACCAAGACTTGTACGAATAAATAAAGATTCTTATTATTTACAAAGACACTATCACAACATGTGATTTCACACACTGGGCAAAGATCAAGTGGTAAGTTGGTCAGCCTCCGCAATTTATCAATTTACAGCATTACACTAGTGGTCTGTTTTGGACCTGATATACCCGAGCATCAAGGCACATGAAGTGAAGCATCTGAACTACAAAATAATCAGCTGTGCTCAGTCTTCTTGCTCGGGGGAAGAAGTACTAGTGAGATGAATATATTTCCGTCTTGAGGGTGGTTTGACTTGCACGGTCATAATGGGCTTATGTGGATAAATGTTAGCGCAGAGTGCCCACAGCACCAACAGCACCACTTATTGATAGGCACGCACATCACTTGAGGATGCGGGCAGCTATTCAGAAGCACAAGCTTTAAGGTCAGCTGGCCCTTCTGGCAAGCTGAACACAAGATAACAAGGCTTAATTCAGCTTTGAAGGTCTCTAAATAACACTGGCCTCCAGTCATTCTCCTGCACACAATCATCAGCCCATTTATAAAAAAAATTAGTCATGTAGGGAGCAAGAGAGGGAAAAATATTCTACATTAGCCCGCGGCAGGTAGATGTGATCGAAGTGATACCGTGATCGCAGTGAAGCGTCACTGTCCGGCTAAGGTATGACTGACGATGATGTTTTTGCAGTCAAAGTGGTCAAAATATATCGATCGTACAGCCCGCAGTACTTTGCACAGTGTTGAAGCTCGGTTGTGTTTTTAGAGCGTAATATAATCGGAACATATATAGAATTGGTGCTGAGATGTTTTTGTGAGCGACTCTGTTGCAAAGGATTATCTCAGATGTTTGTCGATAGCTCAAGACATGGGGAGAGCCAGCTTGCATTACACATCAGCTCGGTCACTCTGATTTTGGCTAAATGGACAGAATCGCCATGAGAACTTCGTCCAAGTTCGTCAAGAGCAAAAACTTTGAGCCATTCATACTGTCTTTATATAAGGGAATATTTCAACAATGACTGCTGTTTGGAGAATGCCATAAGATGTGCAGTACTTAAAACACACGCACTCGGTGGAAGACAATGACGTTCCCACGTTCTTGTACTATTCGAGCAACATTCCAGCCAGTGCAAACAGCAATTACACTTGAGGTGCTGTGAACTACTGAGTGACATGTCATACCTTCTACTAGTGAGGTAAGTAGAGTGACATTGGCGGCCTTCCTCCTTCCTGCTGGCAGGTTGAGCCCAATTTTATCCAACTTTTCTCTCAGAGAGCGGCCTCCATTTTTTGACTTGGCTCTGCAGAAGGACAACACAAAAAAATACAGATTGAGTGTATGATGTCACAGATTACGCAAGCTTACATTTATTTTTTCTCCCATAATGTGTTTAAATTTGTCGGAACAAATGACTTTGAACAAACAGAATAGATTGGTTTGATTATTGTACTTTCACTAAAAATCCACAGACTGCAACCCATACAGTAGAAATAACTTGTCTCACTCCCATGAAAGGTGTCATCCTTGACTACTGATAAAAAAATAAAAAAAATAAAAAGTCACACACAAACAGGCTCTCATGACCTAAAAAACACTGACACAATTGATGCTTCCACTCAAAAAGCATAGCAGAGAAATCACTCATACACGTGTTTGCACAAACACTTAAACTCTGCACTTGCCATGGCCAATTCAGTTTTCCGCATGACTGGCAAGGCAAGCTCTCCCTCTCCATGGTGGGTGAGAGAGGGAGCATCTTTAGGGAGGCATGTGTGTATGAGTGCCCCCCACTCTTTCATCCCCTTCTCCCCCCTCCCTCGTCCCTCAGATAACGATCCTGCTCCTATTGCTATATGACCTACTTAAAAATGTCTGTGATTGTGTATGTATATGTGTGTATGTGTGTATGTGTGTGTGTGTGTGTACATGTCAGCATTAACACAGACACATGGGAAGTGGCAAACGTGCACTCCAAGCACAAACTGCTCCGGTCAGGACATACTGTAACCTCACAGTCCCTCAACAGACTGCCTCACTAACATATGTGCCATAAGGTCAACTGCCTCCGCCACAGATAAAACCTACCCATGCTGCAGTGCCTGACAAACTCACAAATACACACACCCACACAGTCTTTAGATTGGTACTAACTGTGTTGATGTAACCTATCCCCAGAGGAAGCAGAGAACCAAAATTGCAGACCACACAAAGAAAGTCACAAACCTTAGACAAAAAAGAAAAAAAAAAAAAACTGATGAGCCAGAGCAACTGAGCCAAAGCTGTGCTTTTAGAAAACGCTTTCCCATGGGCTGCCGAGCTTTAGTCTACAGATCACTAGAGCTACAACTCCTCAGCTTAATGATCTTTTATAGCTGAGACAATCACACAACCTCATCAACAGCTCACAGAAAACAAAACTCTTGATAAAAAGCAACAAAATGAATTATGCTCATCTTATTTACCCTTGATTTTTTTTTTTTTTTTGAATCAGTGCTCAAGTATTTCTTTGTTATGTCAAAGACTTTTACAAATAATAACAAGAGAGGAAGTTGAAAGAGTCTGACTCTGACCTGCGTAAAACTCCTCCCAAGAGTGATGCATTGAGGCACTCCGGGGGCGACAGACGTCTCTGGACCTCGGCCACGGTGACCTTGTACTTGGAAGTGGAGCTCAGCAAGGAAAGACGGCCCGGTACGGAGCAGAACACCTCTGTAGGGTTTGATACCATACCCAGTAGGGACTCTTTCTGGAAGGGAAGACCCAGCGCATTGCCTTTGGGTAGAGTGACGGGACCTGTAGGGGTGCAGAAAAATATGTGTGTGAGCTAAAGAGTGAAACAAAGAAACAAAGGAAAAAAAAAAAGATCTGATTTTGCAATAGCATTTGTTTATATATGCAGCTCTCCTGTGTATGTGCATAAACTCTAATCAACATAATCCTCTCTGTGCAACAGGGAATCTGTGTTTTCTTGTACGTAATCACAAGGAAGAGTGTGTATGCAGTTCTGCACAACTGAGAAAACCAGTGTCTGCCACACAAAAAATATACAAGAATCAGCCATTGAAGACTTTTGAAATATTGTGTGGTTTTCCAAACACTTGATGCCTGATGGTTAAACAGCTAAAATGCCCTCATGCCAAACACCATCCACAAACAGGTACACACATACACACTGCCTCTCGTCTAAGCCACAGATTCTCCTCAAGTACCTAAAAGTTGTGTGTGTGTGTGTTTTTTTTTTTAATGTTTTGCTGCCCCAAAGGTTTGACAAAATTTAGTTCACAGTTTCCAAATTTTAAAACCACCCACAAAAGCACTGACAGTCATCGGACAAACAAAACAGTACAGCAACACTACAAAACATTGCTAACTTCATCCTCACCCGCAAGAATGCCCCCCTGATAATAAGTCCTCTGTAAGCGATCAAGGTTCCTGCCACCTCGTAGTCCTAATACTGAGACAGAAATCACAGAGTCACATGAGTGCTTTAAGGCTCCTCTGGGGCACATGGTTGGGAATGACATGCCATTGTTTACAAGTGGAAAACCTAGATTGCCCATAACGTGCCCTTGAGCATGGGAACAATATAATGAGCCATCACTGATTTCCGTAACAAATGCAGACCGGTTGGTTTATTGTGCTGTGCACATGGCTTTCTGCTCATAAGTATGCACCATAATGTTGTCATACTTTTGCCAGTATGCTTTAAAATTACAAAGACAAAACAATATATAATATCACAAAAATGTCAGCAAATTAATCCTCCCTGCTGCAAGTATGATCATGAGTAACTGAAACATGATGTTTACATTTTAAACTGAAACTTAAAACTTATTTTTTATATATGATTATATATCATACTGGTATGGCTTTTCACATAATCCTATCTATCTATCTATATCTATCTATCTATCTATCTATCTATCTATCTATCTATCTATCTATCTATCTATCTATCTATCTATCTATCTATCTATCCATCTATCTATTTATCTGTTTCAAATGAAAACTCAAAGCTAAGCAGTAGAGTAAAATTGCTGAAGTTGATCTTTCTCTAACTCAAAGTCTGTTTAATGGAGCCCTGATGACAAAACAGCAGGGATAAGTTCTCCCTCAAAACAGTTCATGTCCCAACAAATTACTAAACTGTCCTTCACATGCAAGGCTAATGCCACACCCCACCGAAAGCTGGTTCTGCAGAGCCAAACACTGCTTCAAGATCAACTCATAATTTCCTGTTAACGTAATCTGAAAAGAGCTGCAATTGCGAGCTTATCCAGCCTAAAAATGATCCAAAGCTTTCCTCTTCTCTCACAGTCAACACAGAGCTTGTGAGATTGCTCAATTTTCATGTCATGTCAGATATAGCCTGCCGTTTTTGAAAAGGATCGCTTCTTTCCCACTGGGCATCCATTCAAAGCACCTTCACCAACAGAATAGGCTAAAGATCACATCAAGCTTAGATAAGTGCATCTCATGGCTATGAGGATTATCACTGTAAGCAGTGTGAGCACAAACAGAAGACTCCTCCTTTGCTGCACTCTCGCCCTGATCGCCTTGACATGCCACTATAGAGGTAATTGTTATGACATTTCCAAGTATGAAGAGAGTGAAAAAAAATACAGTCCTCACAGTAAAATTAAATTGCTGCATCTTTCTTTGGCTGTACAAAAGGCACATGTACCCCAGGCAGGATTTCCCAAAAATTTTTTTTCTTTTCTTTCGGATTAACAGAACTGCTGCTCTTTTGCACTCGTTTTTCAAATAGTCATAAACATGGAGTAAACTCACCTTTTTTGATGACTGTCTGATCTGCCATAATAATACTGTGGTCATCTACATGCTGATAAAAAAGAAAAGAAGTAGCAATAAGCAAACATGCGCCATTGAACAAAGATAGATATAGCAAACTGAAATTATTTTTTGCATGGTGTAGCTAGAAGTTTTAATATTCCAAATCTATCCAAATTTCTCTTCTTCTCTTCTGCCTCTTTCATGCAAAACAGACAAACAAAAAAATATAATTTATAGAATTTCTATTGTGAATTTGGATGTTTAATGAGTACTTAGTGATGTTTAATGAGTACTTAGTGACTTTTGATTATTTTTAAAGCAATCAAAATAATGTACCATACAACAAAGCTAATACATTTACTTTTATTATATGATTGTATGGCTTTCCTAAATGTATACTGTCTGCAACTGTTAACACATACACACACGCACTCTTCAGCTTTTGTGACTTCCACATAACTTTCCCTTTTCAAGTGATCACCTCAATCAAATCCACTCACTTGAACATCCTCCAGTCCGTGCCCCATGTCGTGCATCCCCATGTTATCACCAATAACCGAAGATTCGAGGCTGTGCGCGTGTGGGGGTAGCAGTTCCGGCCGGCGGAACCCTTCCCTCCGCACCCCGGATGAGCCTCCCTCCAGGCCCAGGATCTGACTTGCCAGTCCGCCCCTCGCATGAGCGCCGAGCCCATCCTGGCCCTGTCGGCCGGGCCACGGCTGCTGCTGGTTCGACGACTGCGACTGGTGTATGGAGTTGATGTTGAAGGGGTCGCCGAGGTGGGAGTAGGGGTCACTGGACTGTGGGTAGGAGATGGGTTGGTAGGGAGGCGGGAAATACGGGGGCTGGAAGTCCGAACTGGCCGAGTGTGAGAGGGCGGGAGACGGGCTGTAGAGGTGCTGACTGACCGCTGGCAGGTGAGGCAGCCGAGGGTTCCCATTGCTGTTGCCGTCATGCCTTTCCTGAGGGACGGAAGAGACAGGGCAGCTGAGAGAGATGACAACAATATGGCAGGTAGTGCTAACATTTCATTTGTCCCTCAAGGGAACTCAGTGTCTGTCATTCACTGGCACGGTGTCCACTGAAAAAAATAATTTAGGGAAGAGCATCAATCTATATATATCTTTATACTTTAATTTAATATTAATATACTTTTTTCTACTATTCTTCTTTAGCGTGAGAAATAAAGGTATCTTAATATTTAAATATGGTTATGTTTTGAGTGTTAGTAATGGCCCAGATTAAGCAGCATAATACATTATTAGCAACTTTTCGGAAAGAACTGAATTTTGATAGGCTGTAAAAATTATTATCATTATTAGTATTGGGTCTATTGCTGTTGTTTTGTTATAGAAATATAGCCTGCATTTATTCTGAAAATGCGTCTTCGTTGAAGGCGCCTTTCAACTTTTTTTCTTTCTTAAATGGACTTTCTAGCAGCTTTTGTCCCCCTGCTGTCGCCAGTTCTACTGGCTGTTTAAAAATTTCTATTTTATCCTCCTATATCTTATCTTATCATTATCGTTAGCATATGAAAGAAAAATCAACCCATTGCCATTCTTGTCGTTGATTTGCAAACTTTCGATCAGTGTCACTCAAAAGGCACTTTTTTTCAAGCCTATCTGTCGTTACTCACCTCACAGTCATCCTCATATTTCACGTTGTCGGCTAATTTCCACAACATTTTGACCGAGTAAAAGTCTCTCCCGTCACAAAAGAGAATAAAAGAAAAAGTATATATCGTAGGCTGTGAGTTAATCCAGGTATGAAAAAAATAAGAGCTTCCTGGTGCTCATGAACCCTCTTGTTCTTCGGCTGCGGCGAAGAGGCGAAGTTGTGGGTGAAGGCTGAAGGGACGAACTGACCGACCGACTGACTATCCGACCACAGATATGAGCCTCCACAGCCGCTATGGCAGAAAATAATCGTTGTCAAGCAATATCCCCCCACTCTCCGGTCAATGTGCTCTGTGGTTCTGTTGTGGAAGTGGGCGAAAACGGTGCATATAAGAAACTTGACTCCCTCTTATGGACAAAACAGCGACGTTCAGTCTTATTGGTGCAATCATAGGCACTGTTACTATATCTGCACAGCCGCTGGGAGTGGGCGTCACTCTGCACGATGATGCAGCTGCGTGTGGAAGGGGAAAATGAAAATATTGCTGATTGGCGGGACAAGGGTCCAATCAGAATCCTGTCCGTCTGTACAGTGTCGGATATTTACACCCAGGGAATATTCTATATCCCGCTTATCGTGGCTTACAGCGAGGGAAGTCTCTTACCACCATGGTTTGTTTTACCGTGTTTGTTTTTGTCTCCTCGAGCCCCTTCGGTAACTTAAAAACCGGGCTTTTAATTTGAAAGGAGGACGCCTGTATGGCTCTATTTCAGGATTATATTCCTCATAAACACACCGAGATCGACGCCTGTCGCTCTGAAATAATCCCCCCAGTTATTAAGGGAACAACTTATATTTACTTGCTGCTGAGTTATGACGCCGGTCTGTAAAAACAAACAAAAACATAATAAATGTATAGGAACTTCTTTTTTGTGATGACGAGTTCGATCTGACGGTAGGTTTATGTGTCAGAACCAGCAAAACGTTGATTAATATTGTTGCGTTGAGGGGTCGCTATAGTTACCAAGTGCCTCATGGTGAAGTTGTGACGCTCAGTGGAATGCCTCTCGGCCAATCACATTGCAAGGTTCCAGCTATTCTAGAATTTTGATAGTATTCTCAACAATTAGTTAGACGACAATATTGTGACAAATAAACAGGCTACCTTTATTTTCACTGGTCGGAGGTAATGAGGTTTATAAAGTAGGCTAGGTTAATAACATATAATCACATGTTATTATTATTATTATTGGTGGTAGTAGTAGAAGTAGTAGTGATAGTAGTAGTAGTAGTAGTTGTAGTAGTACTATTATTATTTATTTATTTACCCTATTTTAACTGGTGTTAAAATCCAGCTATGACACTTCAAATAATTAGCATTTCTGCAATTATTTCTGTCTTTTATAATTACACCTAATCACATTGAGCATCATTTTTTACAATAATCATTGTTTTAAAATGATTCTTATTCTTACATTTAACTGCAATGTAAGTTCCTCTTACTGTGATCTTTATAGCCTACATGTCGCTTGAGTAAATCCTTGTGTTGTTCGTGTTTACCGACTCAAAATGGATTAAGACGATTTTGATCTGCAAATCAGCATTTTATCAAGATAATGCATTTCTCCGATCTGAATGCCCAAATAGAATAATAATCATTCGAATACAACCATGATAGTTTAATGTCGGTGCTTCACAGCGGTGTTTGCTTGTTCCAAACCGCAATAAGCCCGAGGGCTTAGCAGCACCAGTCTCTCAAAAACCCCTAAAGCTCAAAGGAGCTCAACAAACAACTCTTTCTTAACTTCATTTACATTTTTGGTGGAGCCTTGCAATGTCCAAAACAAGGCTGCTTTGAAGCTTTGATATGCATCAAATCTCGAAAAGAAGACAAAAGATGTTTTTCTTCTTCTTGTTTTAATTATAACGACCTAACTCTCCATTAGGCTATTTTAATGTTAGTTTCTTTTTTTTTAGTGTGTATTTCTCCCTCCGCAACAGAAATTAATACAGGCAACTCTATGTTCATTAGACTATTTGGAGTAATTTCAGTAATTAGTTTTGTATAATTTGACGAGTACTAAATGTCAGATTATAATTTTTGAGATTAATGGACAGACCTTTGTCTTTCAGGATAACAGCCTGTGGCGTCCGTCCACCCAAGCTGTGATGATCGGCTGTGCATGGGAACAAGAGGACATGGGCCACTGAGGATTATCGTTTTTTTTGGGTTTTTTTTTTTTTTTTTTTTTTTTTTTTGCATGTTGGTCCTTGGCTTGTTGTGATGCGAAGCAGAAGAGAAATGCGCGCTGATTAAATGTTATTTTGCGTTGGAATAGACACAGGGCAAACCTAAAGGAAGTTAGTCACGCATGGCCTCACGGTGATGTTTTCAACAATCCTGATGCTCAGCTTGTCATTTTAATGACAGTCGACCACTGTGACAACCGGCTCATCTGATGTCAGGTGTAAAGATTAAATGGATTAAATGGATCCATACCCGAACAAATTAAAAATATCACACAAATCAATGGAGGAGTTCTGCTCAGTGATTTTTCAATTGGTTTTCTATAGTGTCCATATTTAAGAAAAGAGGCTGACGTGTCTTTTCACAATAAATCCCTTTAAAATAGCCAACAAAATTAGCTTTCAATTTACACCGAACACCAACAAATCCCACACATTTTAAAGGTCATAATAATACTTAGATTCATAAATGACCTATATTCTGCTATATAGTTTAACCTATATTACGGCAAAAAGGCTACATAGGCTATATTAGAGTAGCTTATGCATCACTTAGCACTGAACATAATGACTTTAACAGCATTTCATTCCCACATGATCCCGCTCTTCCTGCAGGACTATTTTCTGTGATAGTATTCTGTTTTAATACAAATAAATAAGTTGAAATATACTATATTCTACTGTGTTTTATGTGTTTTTGTAGAAATGGTTTAAGAGGAAAAAAACAACCGGACTATTATTTTAATGAAAGCCTTTTTAAGTTTCGACCTTAAACGAGCATATTTGGTTTGTAATCAGGAGCCTCAAACCAAATCTCCTGGAAGATTTGGAGAGAATAGGCTACAGCCTTGGCCTTATTGACATTAATCACAGGTTATTCAAAAGCGCACACGGCGCCGCGCGATTACAAACAGGTGATTATCGTGGAAAGTAATAAAACAAATATACGCTCAGCAGCAAAAGCGATAAACATGATGCAGGTTGGGTTAAATTAAATCAGCTGTAAGAGGGAAAATACGCGAGTGAACTCACCCTCCAGTCTATCCTCTCCAGCACAGACATCTGAAAGGCTCCAGTCGCAGCAATCCCACTGAGACGCAACGAATGAGTGAAACCAGGAGAGGTTTTACATCGGCGACTTCACCTGATGGTCGCGCAACGCGCATGCGCCATCCTTTGTAATACACCTGAGTGGGGTAAATCAAAACAATACATCTATACTTCCTCGATTAAAAAAACATAACAAAAAAAACATTTATTCTGTTTTAAACAAAGCAACACAGATGTTCAAATGGATTAGGGTGACAAAAAGAACGCAATGTATTAAAAACTATTATATACTTGAAAATATCTTATTAAATACATGACTCAAAGGATTAGACCAAGGCCAAAAATTTAGGCCTATGGTTAATCTCATAATTATCTGCTATTGTTGAGTAAAAAAAGAAACAATGTCAGAGAGGTTACAGTTTTAAAAAAAGGTGAAAAAAGACGTGGGGAAATTTCAAGATGAGGTAATTCCACCCCCAAAGCCACATCGCCTCGGGCTGACCAAAAGAATCTGCTTTCAAAAGCCACTGAAGCTTTTTAAGGCCTAAAATGCCTCTTGTTATCTGATCCCCAAATACTTTACCTTAAACTAATGAACAGATCAAAGAGTCTTTGCTATGTGGTTGAGAAAGTAGCTTACATATCTCCTTCTAAAAAAAATAACCCCACCTTTCTGATTTGCAGCCCTGACACCTGCCTTTAAAATAGTCTCATCAAACAATGTAATTTCAGATAATGAGGGGAAACGATGGAAACAACGGTGCGGGTCTTACATTGAAACTTTTATATTTCTGAAAACATTCATTTCATTCCAAAGTCTATAAAACTATTGTCTTAATTGCGAAAAGAACAGCTGCATGTAGGAGTTTGTGTTTTTTGAAAAACACAAACAAAAGCGAACAGTTAGGCCTGTTCCTAACTCAATTTGAATTACAAATATTTACGCTGTGTGGTCGAAACGAATGACAGTTGAACGAATTTTATACAAGCTCTTATTACAATTTATTACAAATGTGCATTTCTGTTTTGATGAATGCAAACCTTGACATACAGATGCACTCATTAACTGTACATCCCATAGTTGCTTCACTTTTGAGTTGTGGAAAGTATATCTTCGCAAACATCCATTCAGATCAGAAATTCTGTCCTCGGGCCACATGAAGCCATTTCTGTGCTTGATATATAGGCTATATAAAACAAACGAAAGGGCCGTTAGAAAAAAAAAGCACTTTGTCTTTGCTCCTGCGCAGTTTCTATGGTAACTAATAGAGAGAGAGAAAAAAAACTTTTTTGGTTCTTGTTATTGATGCATTATTTCTTTGTATGCCACTGTATTCAGAGACGTAAACGTGTGCAGGAAGATAGCCTATACATCAACAACAAACAAACATGTCACAGACTGCAGCTGGATGAGGACAAGAGGATGCAGTGTTTATTTAAATTTTCAGCCACAGTGATTGGATTATTTATGGTGTAACTTACATTTAATGAGAAGCAGGCAGACTCCCCTTTGTATGTTCCGTTTGTTTAGTTTTTTTTTTACTGGGCCACAGTTTGAGTTTATAAAATCAGAAGGTAGTATAAGGACGCCTCTGCTGCCGCCTAGTGGCTGCGTCCTCACATTACCACAGGGCTGCTCTCGATTTAGAAAGGATCAGTATTACCTTGGATCTAGCTGATCTTAGCATATATAGTCATGTATGCATATGGGCCTATCCAGTCGTAGAATGTAACACAGGATATTTACTCAAATGCTATACTTATGTACGAATTTGAGCTACTTGTATATTATTTGAGTATTTCCATTTTATGCCACTTTATACAGTACTTACACTCCACTACATTTCAGAAGGAAACAATGTACAATTTACTCCACTACATAGGACTACATTTGGCAGCTGTAGTTCTGTTACCTATTAGATTAAGATTTAACGCAAAACATGTGGAGCTGATACAGTGAGGTCAAAAAGTCTGAGACTTCATCAAAAATCTCAATTTTCATATAAACCTGGAAATAATCAGAAAGTTTGAATTTATTTCATGCCATGTCAAATGAAGAGGGGATATTTTAGATTCTGCACAATTTTTTGGTCAGCAATTAAAATAAATATTTTAACCTAATTTTATTCTTTTTTTTCCTTCAGTCACTGTATATGCTGTTTTTAGTGGCACAATTGTTTTCTGGGCTGTATCAAATGTTTTACTGACTGTAGATGTAGATTACTGTTGATGTAGCATTGGTATATGTGTATATATACACAGGTGCTGGTCAATAAATTAGAATATCATCAAAAAGTTGATTTATTTCAGTAATTCCATTCAAAAAGTGAAACTTGTATATTATATTCATTCATTACACACAGACTGATATATTTCAAATGTTTATTTCTTTTCATTTTGATGATTATAACTGACATCTAATGAAAATCCCAAATTCAGTATCTCAGAAAATTAGAATATTACTTAAGACCAATACAAAAAAAAGGATTTTTAGAAATGTTGGCCAACTGAAAAGTATGAACATGAAAAGTATGAGCATGTACAGCACTCAATACTTAGTCGGGGGTCCTTTCGCCTGAATTACTGCAGCAATGCGGCATGGCATGGAGTCGATCAGTCTGTGGCACTGCTCAGGTGTTATGAGAGCCCAGGTTGCTCTGATAGTGGCCTTCAGCTCTTCTGCATTGTTGGGTCTGGCGTATCACATCTTTCTCTTCACAATACCCCATAGATTTTCTATGGGGTTAAGGTCAGGCGAGTTTGCTGGCCAATTAAGAACAGGGATACCATGGTCCTTAAACCAGGTACTGGTAGCTTTGGCACTGTGTGCGGGTGCCAAGTCCTGTTGGAAAATGAAATCTGCATCTCCATAAAGTTGGTCAGCAGCAGGAAGCATGAAGTGCTCTAAAACTTCCTGGTAGACGGCTGCGTTGACCTTGGACCTCAGAAAGCACAGTGGACCAACACCAGCAGATGACACGGCTCCCCAAACCATCACTGACTGTGGAAACTTTACACTGGACCTCAAGCAATGTGGATTCTGTGCCTCTCCTCTCTTCCTCCAGACTCTGAGACCTTGATTTCCAAAGGAAATGCAAAATTTACTTTCATCAGAGAACATAACTTTGGACCACTCAGCAGCAGTCCAGTCCTTTTTGTCTTTAGCCCAGGCGAGACGCTTCTGATGCTGTCTCTTGTTCAAGAGTGGCTTGACACAAGGAATGCGACAGCTGAAACCCATGTCTTGCATACGTCTGTGAGTGGTGGTTCTTGAAGCACTGACTCCAGCTGCAGTCCACTCTTTGTGAATCTCCCCAACATTTTTGAATGGGTTTTGTTTCACAATGCTCTCCAGGGTGCGGTTATCCCTATTGCTTGTAAACTTTTTTCTACCACATCTTTTCCTTCCCTTCGCCTCTCTATTAATGTGCTTGGACACAGAGCTCTGTGAACAGCCAGCCTCTTTAGCAATGACCTTTTGTGTCTTGCCCTCCTTGTGCAAGGTGTCAATGGTCGTCTTTTGGACAACTGTCAAGTCAGCAGTCTTCCCCATGATTGTGTAGCCTACAGAACTAGACAGAGAGACCATTTAAAGGCCTTTGCAGGTGTTTTGAGTTAATTAGCTGATTAGAGTGTGGCACCAGGTGTCTTCAATATTGAACCTTTTCACAATATTCTAATTTTCTGAGATACTGAATTTGGGGTTTTCATTAGTTGTCAGTTATAATCATCAACATTAAAAGAAATAAACACTTGAAATATATCAGTCTGTGTGGAATGAATGTATACAGTATACAAGTTTCACTTTTTGAATGGAATTACTGAAATAAATCAACTTTTTGATGATATTCTAATTTATTGACCAGCACCTGTATATATACATATATATTTTACTATTGTTAGGTGGAGGCAGCAATTTGTGGTGCTGTTGAACTGTATTGCAGAATACAAAGAGGTGTGTCTGTTGTTTAGCCTTCCCTCATGGATATGAATGTGGTGGACAATATAATAAAAACACATCAACATAACACACTGCAGTTCAACAGTATATGGACTACGTCCTCCAAAACAATTAACACAGTTTGAACAAAAACTGAACATATTTCTTACCTTCTTGCCCTCATGGAGGTAGGATTCATTGCAGGCCTATTGTATTAGACTCCATTAGTTTTAGCCAGGTGGTGTTCCTAAAACATATATATATATAAATGCAGTACTAGTCAAACGTTTGGATGCACTCTCTCTTTCAAGTGAATATGAAGGTGTGTCCATACATATACAGATGGTCTTGTCCCCACAAAGCACTCATCTCAACACCGTGGAGTCAGTCTAGGATCACATGAAGAGACAGAAGACACTGAGACAGCCTAAATCCACAGAAGAACTGGGGCAAGATCACTAAGATGCTTGGAGCAACCTGGGTACAGAATCTATGAATACGCAAATTCAGTCTATTTAAAATGTGTTTTAACTTCTGGAGAAAAAATGAATAAATATACAAGATATTGCGAAACATATTCAATTGCAGGACTTTTACTTGTCAATTGAGTATTTTCTTAAAGAATTTTTTGTAGTTCTGTGATGCTTCTGAACACTTCCTGCATCACTGCCCCTATTTGATCAGAGGCTGCTGTTTCGACCCCCCTCCTTCATTAGAAGACAATAAAGGACACGCAAGCGAGACCATATGTGCAACAGTAACCAAGCAGATGCTGACAGCTGGGTATCTCCTGATCAACACACTAAAGACTAAACCTAACAACAGATTTCAATTTCACACCTGTTAACATGTAAACACACGTCAGCTGCTGTATGTAATCAGAACTTTTTATAGCTTGTTTTTGCTGTGAATTTTCCTGTGAAGTGCACAACTGGGAGTTGTTGCTGCTGTCACCACAGGTAATTATTGCTCTTCTTTTCACTTTATAGCATTGTGTAACCAAGCTTTATATTACAGGCCAAACACAAAATAAAGGCAACTTGTTGTGCATTGTACTTATAATATAGACAGCACAATAAAAATCAAACTTGACTGAATAGAAATTTTATTTTGACATCTTCTCATTACATTTAAAAAAAAAAGGTAGACCAAAACATTTCTAATCTCCTTTAAAGACTCCAACTGTCTGAAAAAGAACATAATTCAATTTCACCACATTTTGCTATCACAAACTGGAAACCAACATATTTTGTTTTCACATCAAAAGGTCTTCCAAAAAGACCCAGAGAAAAACAGACAGTTGGAAGCACTTTGTTTGGAAAAGGAAACTGAAAATAATGAAGCTTGTGATGCTCAAGTTTCTTATCATCTTGCTATAAATAACCGATAGACTGAAAAAAGAAATAACTTCAGAGTTCTCTGCAAAACTTGTTAAATATATTCGACAAAGAAGGAATGAGGGACAGGCTTATTCTGGTAGAACTTATGAAGAAATCCACATTATGTGTTCATAGACAATAGTCATTGAAGACAGGTAGAACCCAGTAGGATGCTTCATCTCAACTGAAGAGTGAAATCAAGCCTGTATATATCCACTCACATCACTTTTGTGATAGTTTCAACCATTTAGAGATCACACTTTAAAAAGCTGCGGTCTGTCCACTAGGAGACAGCAGAGTGACAGAAATGATGAAATCACCCTAGCATCAATTCTCAAAGCACCTCTGACTGAGAATACACTGATGGAAGAGAATACATGGGGGAGGAATTAGGTTACAAAACAAAGCGTCTGAACAGCTTGGGGAGCTATTAACAAAATGTTCACAACATGTAAACACTGAGCTACTTGGGACTGAAGAGACAAGTTGGGAATGAGCCCATACATTGGTGATATTATTAAAGGTCATGTGGGTAATGTGCATTTCTGGAGCTGGGTATGCAGAATTAGATTAGATTTATCAGTAATTGGTATTTAATGGGTCACATTTTCTGGAGCAATCTAAAAATGGTGGTCTTTACACTGAGTGATAGTTACTTAGAAGTGATATGGGGTGTGGGTGACCCAGTTGGATGTCTGCTCTTTGGTACGCTTGGCGGAGCTGTGGGAGGTGAACAGGGATTTGAAGGCCTCTGATTTTTCCTTCATGTCCTGGATGGACCTTTTGGAGGCGGAGGCTGTTGAAGACTTTGCGCCTTTAGAGGAGCTGGAGGATCCCGAGGGTCCGGGCACATCTGGGTGGTAAAATGGAAAATGAAACAGAAAAACAAAACAACAAGAGGAAGATAAGAACAAAGAAAAACAAGGCAAAGAATTACAATATATCATACTTTGCTTAGATTTAGTTTGATTTGACACCTAGAAAAAGTGTTTTTAATGCTCCCTGGAATTTAAGGTCCATACCGAAGATATAACTTGATGCTCAAATGTTTACAGTGAAACAAACATGAAAACAAGATAATTAATTTCAGAACTTTTTCCACATTAAGTCTGACCCATACCCTATAAAATTCAAGTGAAAAACAAACTGCAACTGGTGGCATTAGTGTGAACACCCTCTTATAACTGGGGCTGTGGTTGCGGTCAGAATCAACAACTCACACTGAAGCTCATGTTAAATAGTAGTATACACCTACCATCAATTAAAGTGACTCAGGAGAGGGGTACAAAATTAAAGGAGCTGAGGAAGTACTGGTTGCTCCCTACATGTGATGACAATCTCCCGCATTCTCCCAAAAATAAACAAACATCCAAGCCAAGGTAAATTTTGCAAAAAAAAAAAAAAAAAAAAAAAAAAAAGGTCCCAAAAAATGTGTTATGGTTTGATGAGACCAAGGTTTCAACTTTTTGACAGAATTCCAAAAATGTATGTTTGGTGCAAAAACAGCACAGCACATCACCCGTGCATGGTGAAGCATGGTGGTGGCAGTATTGTACTGCAGTGCTGCTTTCTGCTTTTCTATAGTGGGAACTGGGGCTATAGTCAAGGTGGAAGGAATTATGAATAGCTCCAAATACCAGTCAATTTTGGCACAAAACTTTCAGGCATCTGCTAAAGAGCTGAAGATGAAGAGGAATTTCACCTTTCAGCACAACGACCCAAAGCACACATTCAAATCAACAAAGGAATGGCTTCACCAAGAGAAGATTAAGGTTTTGGAATGACCCAGCCAGAGCCCAGACCTGAATCCAATTGAAAAATCTGTTGGGTGACCTGAAGAGGGCTGTGCACAGGAGATGCCCCCGTAATGTGGTGAATCTGGAACTTTTTTGCAAAGAGTGGACAAATATTGCCAAGTCTAGATGTGCTAAGCTGAAAGATTCCTACCCAAACAAACTTTGCGCGCCAGTTTATATAGGTTATAGGTCACATTAAAAAAGGAAAACGTTCTGAAATGATTTATCTTGGTTTCATTTTTTTTATATATCAAAACCTGCCATTTTAACAGTGCTGTGTAGATTTTTTATATCCACTGTAGGTTATCCTTTTATTCATAATCTGGTAACATCTGAGAATAAAAAAAAAACAAAACAATCCATTTTAAACGGTAATCTTTCAGAATGACTGCCATGCTGTTTGAAGGTGGAGAGGACTCCTTACATATGCTCAACACTGCTGTCACTTCCAAATTTAGAGTTTATATTTAATCTTTGTTTGTATATGTCAAAGCAAAGTATTAGCTACCTGACGAGGTGCTCTGGCTGTCCGAACTGGAGCTGCTCTCTGCTACATTCACTTGAGGAGACTGTGTGTCATCTGCAGGAAGAAACCAGAGTCAGACAATCCGATTAAGCCAGAGGATAATTCAATGTTGTGTTCAAATAGTCAACATAATTTGTCTTATGGTCAGGAAAAAAATTATGTGTAATTTTTTTCACTGAAGCTTTAGTTTTGATTTGAGTAACAAAAGTGCATCAGGTGTTTCTCAGCAAATTCCCTGTTCACTTTTGAGCTCAGAGCCTTGTGCTGTCCTGGAAAACTAAACAGGAAACCACACCAATGCTCTCTGAGGGCACACAATACTGGAGGTCTTTGATCTAAGATTCATAAACACCGGGCCAAACTGTAAAAACACTTTACCAATTCAAAAATCACATCAAAAATAGGATTTGCAATTCTTTGCTTATTGATGAGACTCATGAAATGAAGTAAAAACTAGGATAAGAGTTACACACATATTCACACGGGAAATGTATAAAGCAGGGCCGATTTTAAAAAATGACAAACAATTTCGCTACATCTTCTGTCACGATGGGAAAGATGCACCTCTTTAAATGGGGAAATGATGACCTATAAGTCTGTTCAGGTTCTCAGAACATGTATGAGGAAATGAATATATATAGTTATATAGTAAGACAATGAAATGTGACCAATCCAGTTTAAAAACCACATATGACACATCACCACTGACAGAGAAAATGTATGTCATATGGAGCACAGAAAATCTGTTCTCTGCTAAGAACATCAGTGCTTTATGGCAGAGGCAGGGGCCACCTCGCCTGAAAAAAAGGTGTGTACTAACTTTTTTTTTTTTTTTTTTTTAAATACACTTTATTAACTTTCAGTGGAAAAGAGCACATGAGCTATTTCGAAGTAAAGGCCACACATTTAATGAGTATAAGCCTTTTTCATCTACTAATTAGATAAATTATGAAATGAGATGTGTTAGGATCTATGTTGCTTTCCACATCTTATATATATCATCAACTTCACAGTACTTACTGAGTTAGCATGCAAGTTAAACGTTTGAATAACCAAGACAACTTCTCTACAGGATGTTCAGAATATTATTCAAATGAAGAGGGCTCCGGTGTTTTGTTAGCTGCATGCTTTTGTTTATGTAAATGCTAAACACAAAGATTTGTCTGACTAAAATGAATGATGCCTCAACCAGGCTTTACACAAACCTTTCGATTCTGATGGTGTGGACACAGTTTCAGCTGCTTTACTCTTCTTTGATTTCTAAAAGAAAAAGGGAAATGTATTGATTACACACTAAAACCACTGTCCCTGACAAAAGTTAACTTGAACATTATTCCAAAACAGTTTCCAAAGTTTAGACAAATGTCATTCAAAACCTAACAATATTGCAATATGGCTAATATTCTGCAGTTTATTCAATTCCAACAACCCATATACTCTCAGATTATTTCATCATCTTAGATGAGCTGTAATTCAATTAAAATTAAAAGTTACCTTAGTTTTGGCTTTGGCTCGCCTCTCTTCCATCTTCTCCCTCAGCTTTTCCACCTCTTCCTTGGTTCCATTGACCACAATGATATCCTCATCTTTAAACGGGTCCCCACACTATAGCACAGACATGACACCCCAGTTAATAGACACTGACTGTGACCGGCAAAATAGGAAAACCTGTGAAACAACAAGGCAGTTCATAGTCGGCATCTATGTTTAATAATTGAAGGGTAAGAAATGTATCCACAGGATGCATAATTGAGCTAAATGCCTCCAATTTGAACAGTCCTGTGTTAAATCCTTCCACTTACAGTGTGTGAGTGAGCTGAGCATTTTATTCATGGCAGGATTTTTCCTGACCCATACCCTGAAACATAAACATTTCAAATATATATTTGCGCGTAAGGCAAGTTTAAAGATGTATTCCTCTAAAAAAAAAAAAAAAAGTTTATCTTGAAAAACACATAATCTCATAACATGACATACGATTAGGCTAAAAGCACAAAAACTGCACTTAAAAAAGCTTCAGGTGCAAAACAGGCAAGGGGATGTACTCCTACTTTCACTTGCAAAACAATGATTTGTTTATCCTGCTTGATGGAACTCTTTATTATGAGGTTTCTGTGGCAGGGATAGGTAGACTGAAAAAACAAATAGTATAATAGTCAAATTATTTCTAAACACAGCTGCATTTCTTCAGGAAAAAATAAATATGTAAGCATACTCTGTGCTGAACAGTTATATAAAATAACACAATTGTGAAAGCTCAACATCCAAATTATCTGCCTGTAACATCACAGCCCATTCTATCTTATTTGTATATGGAAACAGGCAAAGTCAGTAAGTTGGTTAGAAAGACATTGACGTAATGTGTGGGTTTCTAACAGCGTTGCACCAAAATTGTTGGAATTTGTAACTATGCTCTTTAACCCAGATGGAAGTACAGTCAGAAGCACATGACTATGATAAGCTAGAAACCTGTTAATGACCAATGACATCCAGTCAATGAATCTTGTGTTTGAAGCCCCTTACAGTCACACTGTATGTTCAGTAAATAAATGATGTAGGCCTATTTTTAAATTCATTATGTTTTAATCCACTATTCCATAAAATCTAAAAATCTTCCTGGTATGGATCTCCCACAGATCTAGCTGACGGGGTTTGCCCTCCTCTCTGCTCTTGATGAGGTGTATTAAGTCCAGTTTTACTGACCAGTATATTATTGGGTATTTTACTACCGGGATACATCTAATTTATGTAGCACAGTTTGTTGTTCATAGTTGCATTTTTCTCAGACAGGCCAACCCAAAACAAAAGATGGCAAAAATCTCAAATTCTAAATTTTGTATATTAGTCAAAAATGATACTAACACAAGCTGTGTGACTGCTTCATAAAGAAGGGAATACACAGCCATATACAAACACAAATATTAAACCCCTGAGTTACCAGCAGGGGATCTATTGTGTGGCCGCAATGCAGGCTCAGTGGGTGTGAACTCCGGCCATGTGCTCTGTTCAACACAAGAGGGATAATCTCAGAAGCTGACCAGGCAGCAAATAAACTCTGTGGGTGCTGCTCTGAAGTCCGTCGCTCTGCTGTTGCTATTACCCGAATGACACAGGCCACCGGTGAGCTGGGCACCTTCTTGTCAAGTCAGTCAGCAAATCAACCACAACCTTGCTTCAGCATTAAACCGGCCACCTGACAGACGACAAGAAGCTGAACAAGGCGGAGAGCGAGTACTCAGTGGAGGGACACTGTGGATAATTTGACATGTGCACCCGCGACTGGGGAGATGAACTGCAACTCAACACATTTGAGAGAAAAAAGAAGAAAGGAACCTGAGGTAAAGGGAACAAAGAAAGAAATAATGTAAAGCAAGAAGAAAAAATAGGAAAGACGGAACACACCAGTGAGTAGGAAACTGTATGGGGGAGGAGAGTGGAAAAAAACCTTAGGGAGAGAGAAAGAGCGTGTGTGACGTGTTCCTGTGTGTCAGGTGTATGCATCACTGCTGGTAACCAAGCGGGGACGGCCCTAATCTCATGGGGCTGTTGTAGGGAGGCGACTTAATCAGCAACGAATACAACCAGAGAAAAAAAACACACTCCGTCGTACTTCAGTACGGTCTCAAGCTCAGAGAGTGCAGCTTCCTGGGTCTCTCGCTGCCAAAGACAACAACGAAAAAAAAGTGATAAGTTTAGCATAAACAGATAACAAAAGCTACTCCTGACGCTGTTCCTGTTGTTGCTGATGATGTTTCCAATGGATATAACTCTGCCAGACCCTGGATGGATTGAAATAACACATTTGGAGTAGCTGTTTGATCAACAATGATCAGAACAGGCGCTGATGTCTAATGTTTTATCTCTTCATCATAAGTACTACAAAGTGAACTGCCTCAGAGGTAAGATGCTAATCCTGCCCAGTCTTTTGCATTTTTCTTTACATACTGTATCTGCATGTGTTTACATGTGTTGCGTTGATATGAGCTTTACATGTTTGATGTAGACAGACATAAACATGACAGATAGATATCGCAAAATGAATGTGAAATGATTATTATCACAAGCTATGATAAACGGTTTCTGGCTGAGCAAAAAAAGAATCCCTGACTACAAACACTAAGCACAATCAAGCAGCAAGCTATTTCTTACTGCATTTACATGCTGAGGAGTAGTTGGTTTTTCTGTCAGAAGATATCCCCCTATGGATATCCCCCTATGGATATCTTCAGTGCTGTTCTCAAGAACAAAGGGGGGTTAAACAGCAGTTAAACACCAAGACCAGTCATCAGAGATGCCCTGAGCGTCTTTGCTATGAAGGGACCACTGGAGTTTCAAATCCATTTTCCTGCCCATACAAAGATTTCTGAATTATACATGAGCTCAACCACTCACAGCCCCTGGTGAAAGCAACATTGCAAAATATGCATAATGTTGAGTATAAGGAGGACTGTAAACAGCTACATACAAATGCTACCGTTACAACGCTTAATTATTCTGAAGTCAGTTTCAAAACTTTTGGGTGTCCTCATGTCTCTCTAAAATGTTGTTTGTTTACTTAATTCTTTCTGTTGTACCTTGCACGTGTGGCTCCTAAAGACTACACGAGTTTTCAGATGATCTGCCAAACTTGTTCAGTGAGTCTGTATGGTGTCTTTTAAATGAGGCTTTAATCGCTTTAATTATTGTCATCAATTATTTGATAAATGGTTAAATAACCAAGTATAGCCATTTTTAACTACCCACCCTCAAAGTATTTTAATTTTGCCTGCAAAATGTAATGCTAATTTCATAATAACATGAAACAAACAGATTATTTAAAATTTCTAAATAACATTTTCTATTGCTCAACCAATTGATTGATCAACTAGCTGTTCATTATAACATTTCAATTCATGGTCCTAATAGGAATTAAAGTATTTAAAAAGGTGTTTATAAGTGTTCTACTTTGTCAATTCTCTCTATTCTTGCTCCTATGTTTTGTCAAAGCTTCCTGTACAGATTCCTTTAATTGGTTTTGTTTTGTTTTGTTTTGCATTTCAGTTGAGGCAGAAAGTAGAGACACTATAGGTGAAATTTATTCCACGGCATGATTATAGAAATCCCATTATGATAGATAAGTTATAATGCTATATATTTCAAGAATGCTACTATTAAATGCTGTGTTTCAGAAAGAACTGACAACATGCTGCCAGTTATGCGTCAAATATCAATTATCAACAGACTAAAACTGGTACACTAATCTACAATTCTTGAGCTGAAAGCCGGCTTCATCAATTTGTGCTAACCTACATATTTAACCCTATTTAATAACCCTCAGGGGTACGGGACCCTTCTGCAAATAACCAAACTGCATTTCTTTCTTGCAGGAGTTTTATCTGTGGTGGTGCTGATTGGATAAGTTGAAGTGGGGCTATTATGCACCAACTTGAGGGGACAAAATGCAGCTTCTTGTTGTGCCTGGGGATGAGTATTATTATTTGTTCAGTAATTTACTTGAGGGCTAGGATAACAACAACAGAGCCAGCAGAGCCCAAGCCCCTAGAGCCTTCAAGTTGCAGACCCTTTTCCACTGAATGTAAAGGTTTTCTGCCTGGCACTGATAAAGGAGTAGAATGGTACCGCCGTGACTGCCAGGTATGTGCGATTTAATTTTGTATGCAAAATGTATGTCAAAAATCTACGGTAAACATTTGTTAGCAATGAAATGCACAGAGAATTCTGGACCACATTTTCATTCACAGAACTTAACTAGATGCTATCTTGCGCTGGGATCACACCAGCCACGACAGCCGTCAACAATTTTCACGTCCCAAATCATGAGTACTTAGTAGTTATTACTACATTATTACATGAGTATTCAGCACTTGTGGGTAGGTACTAAATTTGGACAGAAACTGTACAGCTCTGGCACATTAGGAGATATGACAGCACAAGACCGTCAGTCATATTGCACATTATGTTTGAGAACAGACATAAATGAGATTCTATGGTAGTGACATGCTGAAAACAAATGTTTAACTACGAAATAATTAACCCAATACAATAATTTCCCAAATCCATTATTGAGTGTATGCTGACTAATACCAGTAAAGATTGTTCCACAAGTAAGATAGTAACAGTTGTAGTGATAATATATCTTTTCTGCAGGTGGACAGCTATATTCTCAATAGTCATCTTCAGTGTTCCGATTTGACCCAAAACCTACACTTCATCACAAGACCTCTGAGCCCCGAGGAGGAAGAATACCCTTTAGCCTTCATTGTGACCGTTCACAAAGAGCTGGAGCTTTTTGTGCGATTGCTGCGGGCCATTTACATGCCGCAAAATGTCTACTGTATTCATGTGGATGCTAAGGCTCCATGGGAGTACCAGATGGCCGTACAGAAGCTAGTAAGCTGCTTCCAAAACACCTTCCTCTCCAGCCACAGCGAGACAGTGACCTACGCTGGCTTTTCCCGCCTGAAAGCAGATTTGAACTGCATGAAGGATCTCGCAAAGTCCAAGATAGGCTGGAGGAAGGTGGTGAATCTGTGTGGACAGGATTTCCCTGTCAAGAGCAACCTGGAACTGGTGCAGTACATGCAGAGCAAAGAGTGGAGGGACAGAAACATGACGCCTGGGGTCAAGCAGCCGGTGTCCATGAGGCACAGGACACGGCTCCAGCACAAGGAGATCATGGGGTCACGCGTAGCTCTGAAAGGGTTGGGGCTGAAGAAAGGTCCTCCTCCACACAATCTGCAAGTTTATTTTGGAACAGCTTACTATGCTCTCACTAGGGCCTTTGTAGACTTTGTTCTGAAAAGCCCGATAGCCCACGACCTCTTGGAGTGGTCCAAGGACACATTCAGTCCAGACGAGCACTACTGGGTGACACTCAACCACGTCAAAGGTAAACTGTCTGTTTTGAATGGATATACAGACATGCAGCAATTTTCTTCTAGTTCTGATGTAACCTTTTTTCTAAGTTCTACAGGACAAATCTTGGTAAAAAAAACTATTAATTACTAATAGCGTTATTATGATATTTAAACACAAGGAGACATAAGATACAGAAACACAATCGATGCAACATGGTCAAAGAGCATATTTGATCTTTAAATAATTTTTTGCACTGGATCATTGACTGGGCTTTTATGACACAGGTCAGGATTTCACATTTGCAAGGGCAGTGTACTCTAAAGCTATGTGACAGTGAAGAAGAGGCCCTGAGTTAAACTCCCTTTCAAAGAGCACAATGACAAATTTTTGTGTGCGGCAAAAGTTGGAGATGCAAGAAGTTACTGGCCGCAGTGTAAAAACTGGATTATGGAGTCTTGGATTGGCTTTACACTGAACCACAGCATGTCTGAGGCAATTACATAAAGTGCGCTTTCATCCACCAAGTTTTAAAACTTGCTTAGTGGAAACGGCAGATATTCAAAAAAAAAATTGGTTGAAATATTGCAAACTTTCTACACCCAGCAGAGGTCTAAATGTTGGTGCTAAATTTGGGTGTAGCACTGGAACATTAGGAAAAATGACAGCACATGGTGAAACACTGTAACACTGGCAACTATTGCTTGCCAACTATTGCTTGCTTGAAGTGAACAAATTTCCTTTTCTTTTATCCCACACATACTGTATGACACGTGTAATCTACAGCATGTGAACATTGAACGCATATTATTTAAAATGAAGATAATGATATAAACATTAATATTTATATTGTCCATCAACAATATTTCAATATTTTATTACAAGGTCCCTCCTCATTCCCTTCCCTCCCACACTTTCTGTTGTCACTACACACCCTTTGTGGCGGTCATTTCTCACACTTGAGTAATGCTTGAGTCAAGTCTCAAAAAGGGAAATTTTGGTGTACTGAAATGACTGTTTCCCTCTTACACCAAAGGACAAGCATGTTACTTATTAGGAAATATTCCCTAACTTGATTATGGAACTGACCAAAGAAATCAAATGAACCCCTGGGTGTGTAGAGAGGGTGACTGAAATGAGATGGAGTTATTTCCCCTAAGTGTAAGGGCAATCAGTAAAGTCTAACAAACTGTATTCCTTATACATAGACATATAACTGTCCTAAGGTATCAATAAGGCAGACCTTAGCCCATTCTTAACATCAACCCTATAGCTTTTGCTCTGAACCCTCATAGGCTTTAACTGATATCAGTATTGATATTGATGGCTTTTGATGGCCAATAGACCTTGTCATTTCTCCATTAATTGGGATTGCTAGTGTGAAGCTAATGACATGTTTGTTTTGTGTTTCTGCTTGTGATTTTCATAGGGCTGCATTTGAAAAAATATACTTGATCAATAAATACTAGCCCTGCTTGGATGCCTCTCATAGAGAAGCTTCAGGAAGTGGTTGTGCACTGCTCTATATAGGTAATGGAAAGCTTAAGTAGTGTGGTGAAGAAGCTGCACCAAAGACTCTCATGACATTTACGATTTACAGGAAGTGGTTTCAAACAGCCAGTTTCAGTTTTACAAGAAAAAAAGATTCCATGAAAAGGAATACTTTACTTGACTAGGCAAATACACGTGGTTAACCTCTGGACAAAGAGCATGGATAAAGAGCAGTAACACAGCCGGTTCCCTAAGCTTTTCTATGAGAAACATCCAGGGCCATCTCCCACGCAGGGCTAACTAAATCCTTTGAATTCAATTACATACTAATTATTCATTTTATCTTGTTATGTGTTTGCAGAAGCTCCAGGCAGCCACATAGATGGAGGTTGGGCTGGAGACATTCGGGCAATCAAGTGGAGGGATCAAGAAGGAAGGACACACAGTGGCTGCAAAGGTACAGTACAGTAGAACATGTCTATTATTGGAGGTAATATTTTAATGATCAATATCTGTACTACAAGGCTTATCTATGGTCTAGTTTAATTCTTGATACTATGACAATGTCATCTAGAATCTGTTATGTGAGTCAGTATATTTTCAGAAACTTAAAAACAAACTAGTATTAATTAATATCACATTAATAACACTAGCATGCCTCATACTGTACCTGTGTCCAATGAAATAAAAATGTCTCCTTACTCTTTGCCTTAGTTATGTTTGGCTCTTTAGCTCCGAACAGGATTACACGACCATTTACTGGCTAAAGCAACTCAAGATTTACTCAACAAAAGAACTGATAGGGGGATTCCTCTCATATGATGTAATCTCTATATGGTAATAGGTTTAGTCTGTCTGTGTTTTATATGACCTTTCACTGGTAGAAGATGGAAAAAAAAGAAGTTTTATGTAACAATAAAATACACACATCTATGTGACCAAAATTGTTGATATCATTTTCCAGGGCATTATGTACGAGACATCTGTATCTATGGATTTGAAGACCTGCCTTGGATCATTAACAGGAACAGCATGTTTGCCAATAAGTTTGAGAGAAACACCTTTCCCGAGGCCCTGGACTGTCTGGAGCAGTGGCACAGAAACAAGGTGCTGAGTCAGGCAACTGTTCCCATAGACCCATCATGGCTGCTAGCTATACAGAGCAACTCAAGCAGCAGCAGCTACTTTAACAGCAGTGCTGAAGCATGAAATCGCTGTTGATATCTTTAACAAAAGTCGGGTTACATGCAGTTCATACTATTTGCACTTGTTCAGTGACTCTGAATGTCAAAGATGTGAGCAGGAAAAAAACTGAACTGAGAACAAAGGGATGATGCACTGTACACTTCCAGTGTCTGTAGCACGACTACTGTTCACAGATATATTTGTCTATTTATTTTTTGATAATCATGAGAGTGTATAATGCCAGTGTATTGCCAGAGGATTAAAAAAATATCTTTACAGTAAAGCAATGCAGTTTAAGCAAAAGTGCAGTGACAACTTTGAGACAACTAGACTACACATAGTATTGAATAAACTACTGAATATACATTTAATACTGTTTCATTTGATTTAATATTGAATATTGTTTAATTTAATATTGTTGAGTATGTTGTCCAGTTTGAAACACACTTGTTAATAAAATTATTGTCAGTTCATCTTTTTTTAATGAAGGAGTTGCAGGTGTAAACAACTAAACAAATAAAGACCTCTCTTCCCTCTTTAAAAGACAGCTGATGTTTCATTGTAATTTTCACTTCATCATCTACAACTTATGTCAGAGTGACTGTGGACATTAGATCCCCAAATAAACTGTGATTTGATTTTCATTAAGTGAGATACTTTCCCTTCAACAGACATATCAACAGTGACAGGAAATAATCAGCAGTATTTTTCTTCAAAAGTAAGACTTAAACTGTCAGAAACTCTATCTTTGCATCTGATACCATGCCACACTGGTAGTGTGTTATCTACAGTGATATGTGCTTATTTGCAAAGCAAAGCATTAGCACTAAGAACTCTATGTGTGAATCAAACCATCATAGCCACTGCCAAACACTAACAGTAATGGGGAGCAGATGCATGGAAGAATAGATTAAAAATCTATCAGGAAAATGTAAAAAGATTCATAGTTGGCAACCTACTAATCCATCAACTGTTGCAAACTCAAATATATCTCCATATTTTCATGAGTAAAACTAGTCCTTAAACAATGTACATTTTTAGGGAGTGTTTTTTCTGAATATTTAAATGCTTTCATGTCTGTGACATTTTTATACTGCCTACAAAGTCAGTACAAAATGCATGGACATAAAAGTGATAAGAACAGGGGTGACAGGGAGAGACAGAACTAAATAATGCTCACCTTGTGGCAGATTTCTGTCTTGACCTCCTTCAGGGCCCGGTCAGAGAAGACACAGCCACAGGTATGCAGGTAAGAAAACCTGAAAAAGGAAAATATGAGGGAATATAAACAAAACAAAACCATAAGAAAATGTTTCTTTCTTGAAACCTTCCAGTCTTTTTTCATTTCTTTCTGTAAAATGTGGTTCATTTTTAACACTGTTAAATATGAACCAGTGGACGAAAGATTTGATACTGGTAACAACAACTGATAAGAGCCTTCCAGTGTTTTCACAATACATACCTTACTTATGAATAACACGGAATATAATTTAAACAGAGGAATAAAGACACAGCTCGTGTTAGACACACCCTAGAGAACACACTGATGAAGATGATGTTACTTTAATGTCATCATGTGGTCAACAGTGCGCTCCCCAAGAATCTAATGAGTCTATGAATTAAGTCTCACCTGAGCAGGTTGAAAATATTAGACTACAGTATAACAGGTGCACATAATTGACCTTTTGTGTACCAGCATTTTGATTATTCTTAAGTTGAATCCCTTCTACTTGGTAATGTTTACCTGTGCTTGCCATTCATCTCCAACCCTACAACAGGGCAAATGAACATGCCACAGTGGATGTCCTCATAACGGTCTCCTTTAGCATTTCTTCTTTCTCCCTCCCACTCAGGATTATCGGTCAAGTTCAGTTCTTTTATATCCTAGAGAAAAAAGAAAAGGGGAATGAACATGCACAGAAAAAAAACACCAACATGAAATCAAAGAGAAATGCGGACGTATTAACCCCGAACACACAAATAAACTCAAATAGACTTAGAAATAGGAATCTTTGTACAAGACTAGAGTGACTTTACCACACCTTTATCCCACGGATGTGTGCAACAGCCTCAGCATTGGGTCTGTCAGCAGACTTATCCAGGAGATATTCAATGACAGCATCTTTGTTATAGAGCCTGAAACATAACAGAAACACATAAACAGGTATCTAAGCAGGCACAGAAAACGGATGGCCAGACTCTGCTGGTGGTGACAACCTCATTAGTTTTCTAGTTAGATTTAACACAGGTTTTCACTCAGTGTCACATTATCAAGCCATCTTGTCTCTACAGTTGTAACAAGGCAGCTGATTATGCCTGATTGACGATTAACAAACACTTAGCTCTCACCTTCCCAGGTCGCAAGCAACGATGGGGCGTCTGAGTTTTTCCTGGCTCAGGGCACAGTACTTCCATTTGGCGGCCAGCTCTGCATTTTTATCGACCTAGACACACAATTAAAACGCCTATATCACAAAATGTTCCACGATGAATGTAAATATTGTAAATGATTGTGTTGAACGACTCTGTTAACTAGTCCACACTGAAATGACTGCCACGTCTCTCTTGTAAAATATATCTTCTACCTCAACAAACGACAGATAAAGGACAGAATAAATAAATCAACCAAAATACTGTTTGTTATTAAACTTCGCCCATCCTAATGAACGTTATACATCCGTAACTATTATATTTTGAAGGCTAGCGTTAGCTAGCTAGTTAGCTTACCTTGCGCATGACATCTTCAACAAGTAAACCCTTTACATATTTGAACCGTTCATTGCATAATTTAACTTTCGAACTACATAGTGTGCCTAAAACAATTACGAATTTAAACATTTAATAATTTTCAAGATAAATAGCTATATTAGTATACTGTTTGCATGCTAGCTGGCTAATAGTTAGCAACCTACAGGTAGCTTTCCACAACGACACAAAAGGTAAGGAACTGCAAAAGAAACCAGCGTAACACACCTTCTCGACTTTTTTAGGGCCTTTCACCAACTCATGTCTTTTTGGGATCGTGCCTCCATCACATCCCATCTTGACTGCCGACTTGTGAAGTTTAATCACCCCGTTAGCTTACTGTGGACAAAGCTACTCAGGTTGTAAACAAACAACGAGAGAGCTGCAAACATCGCGGGATGTGCGGTTAATATGATGTCGCCCTCCAGTGGCTGAATGACCAAAACGTAAAAAAAATTCAGCTGTAGTTTGTAGCTTCAGCCACAGTGTGGAGGCCTCAGTCAAAATATCACTTTACTAGTTTCTGTTCAGCAAGCAGCCCAGATGGGAGCTGCCAGTGAAGTGGGAAGCAAGTGGAAATTTACCATTTACCATTTAAAAAAATAATTTTATCACTAAGCTGAGGAAAGATAGGCATAATAACCTAATTACTCAGCAACTATTTACCAACAACAACCATTGATAATTACTATGATCGACATAATTTTTACCATTGTTTTTATTAATTTTTCACTCCTGTCGCACAGAATGCCACATGCATATATTTATATAATCGACTGTGAAGTAAATGGAAGATCAGAGGAGGATTATATAATAAAGTAAGAGGAAAAAGTTGAGGGGAATAAAAAAGTTTTAGTACAGCATGCAAACATCATACCATAAATATAATCATAAGCAAACATTTAGAAAAAATGTGGGGAATATCATCATGATGTGACAATTTGCTGCAACAAAAACATGGTTTTGCTCATACTTTTAAACGACATTACCTTACATTATTGTAGTTGTGTATGTAAGCTTTGCCCAGATTACTTCACTCTTTAACTGCCCATCCATCTATGAAACATTTTCAGTCCGCCATTAAACCAAGAACTAGTAAGTGACATTAGTCTGGCTTTCAGGCCTGTTGTCAGAGTGGTCTAAAGATGAAAGTTTCCTTGGAAGATAGTTCAATGAGTGCTAATGAGATCTGTTTCCTGTGCCTTGCAGGCTGTAGATTAGTTTACTATCGATGGTGCTGTCCAAGAGCGACCATTAGTTGGGGAATACCCCAGTGGAGACATCTCTGGCGGCATGACTGATAATCTGTGTGGAAAAGAAGACTGAATAAAATCACCACGTTGGACTTCATTTTGGCTGAGAACATAGATTTCAACCTCTTTATGCTCACCACACACTGGCAGCTGCTATTGTGGTTCTTAAAATGAGGCAAAATGAACAGATATAAACATAAAAACATTTCTCCATTTTTCCTGTTGGTTCGATTGGTTCTTCCTGTAATTTATAAATTGTGTTACGTGTCTTATTGAATTTCCCCCCTTTCTCACACAGAGCTAAATGTTTAGTATGGATTTTCATTAGAGGCAATGGAGTTAAAGCTCTGTTAGCAAACTATCTTTGAGAGAGTGGAGCACCCCAATCTGATAGTGCAAACCAACACCTCAGGAACACGCAATGCACAATGGCCAGTGGACAAAAGGATATAAAACAATGGACAATGGTCTACGCTTCCTGTCTAGCGTGTTCTTTTAAGAGATCTTATAAGTGGAAAGTGACTCAAATCTTAGTGAAAAGTAAGACATTGTTTTATGTTGCTCCTGTGGTGTACATTTTCAAGTTCTATATCAGATATAAATGTGAATAGTTTCAAGTATATGAATTGAAAATGCAAATATGTACAAAATGAAAATATGTAAAGCCACATAGCTCCAGATCTGTTCAAATACTTTAAAACTTAGAAAATGAGGCAGCATTGTAAAAACAGTTTGTAGTTCATTAGTTTTTTATCTGATGAGATTCAAAACACCTTAAAATAGCAGATAGACAAATGGCAAAGTTACCCGTGTCATTTCACATCTGACCTGCAATCTGAAGCCAAAATATGTCACTGCCAGTATATACAGATCCTGACTGTACTGATCATATCTGTTCTACTTTAACAGTTGAATCTGAAGAGTTTGCACAGCTGAAAATGCAGCTTCCTCTTCCCCAGCTCTCCCCCTCTGACTGACCTTCCTACCACACATATCTTTCTGGCCTGCTGTGGTGCTACCCAGCACGGCTGACCCAAAGAAAACCCCAACCACCAAGCACCCATCCAATCTCATGTTTATACTTCCATGATGAGTCCAACCTGCCCAATCAGACTTCCACTGACTGGCCTTGAACTGAAACTGTATACATCTCAACCATCCCAGCCATCCGAAGCAGCCAGTGGAGACCAAGGCTGCATTAATTGCACCAACCAGCCCTGGTAGTGCACCGAGTCCAATGCATTTAGCGTTTCTAATTGGGGAGGAATTGCTGTGTTTACATTGGCGCTAGTTGATAGAGCTGGACCCTTAGCCCTGCAGCCAACCGAGCTAAAGCTCTGTGAAGGAGAAAACCCAAACTGCCTGGTCCCTGATATCTCTCTGGACAGAGCTGGAAGGAAATTATTTGGAGCAGAGCAGAGGGCTGTTTACTCATATTTATCGGGGGGGGGGTGTCTTTTATTTTTCCTCTGTCAGATTTTAGCTTCAATCTAAAGGGTATGGATTAGGGTGAGGGTTAGTGTGAGAAGGTCAAATGATTTCCTAAAGAACTATTTTGCTTGCAAAATGGCTAACCTAGAAGCACTGGGGATACATTTAGCATGCACTAGAGAAAAACTATAATCTTGGCCAACGTTTTCATTGCTGCTTAACCAGTTTCTCTTATTATTTTTTATAATAAATTATTGTTTTTTTTAAACACAAAAAAATAGTGAAAAATTTCAATTACAAATTCCCAAAATCCAAGTTTTAGATCTTGAAATGGCTTGTTTTGTCTAACCAGCAGTCCAAAAAAAAAAAAAATCCCATGATCCATAAAGAGATGATATGATATTAAGTCAGTTGTGAAGACTCTTCATAATTTCCTGTAAGAACTCTGGTGTATGAAGCGATACCATACCACGTGCAAGAACATCAAGAATTTCATTGCAAATTCTACAGTCACCACAGCATTTCCCCTCAAACAGAAAGTCTGCAATATAAAAGAATATTTTATTTGTGATTTTAAGTTGAATAGGGCACTCCACTGTACTCAGTCAACTCTAACACCATGTATCAGGCCATATGCAAGTTCATGTACCTAATATATAATGAGAAATCCAAAACCTTGGAAAAAGCACACCACATCCAACATGCAAGACTGCAACGGGTTACCACACACACCAGTCGACCACAATTATTTTCTCATTCCTTTTTCTGTTTATGTTGAATCTTACATAGCTCAAATTATGTCAGTTGGAAACATTGCCCATAACTAATTTTTCTATCCTTTTGGAGTGTGATTAGCCCGCTTGAGCTTTTGCCACATATTGACACAGGTTTTTGATAGCTTGTACTGTAAAATACCCCATGTAGTCTGGCATAAAGTCATAAACAGGGAATTTGAGCAGGACTTTTGTTTTTACTGTCATTGCTTATATGATCAGAGTAAAATCCCTAATTTAAAGGATTAGGATTTATTATTTTAGGTGATTCCATTTGGATTTGGAAACGCTGCAGATGAGTCAGCAGCAAGGAAATCAGGTTTTGTCTGTATCTCTCAGCTTCCAGGGTATGACTGTTGAAGAAAAACATGCGTAATGTTGCCATGATTCCTCCAGCAGATGACTGTGGACCATTTTTCCCTGTTGCACCAGCCTGCTGTGTGACAGTTTTAATCCATCGGCTGGGCTGAAGTGTACAGCTCAACATTTTATTTACCGCAAACTTCACGAAGCACTGGGACCTTTTGTGGTCCCAGCCAAGCCGAGACGCAGACCCATGCATTCGCCAGCACAGACACACAGTCCACCTGGACACATTTTCACCATCAGCCAGTTTATGATTATCTTTTCCACTGTGGCAAACCAGACTGAACACCCGCAGACACAAACCCACAAACAGATAAATGGATACATACACGCACACACGGCTCAGATACACATGTATACATTCACTGTCTGTATAAACAGACAACCATAGGACACACACACACACACACATATGATCCTCGGTTCCTCCTTGATGGCTGTGACTGAGGAATGAAAGTCTCCATACATCAGTGGAGGCTATATGAATGGAACAATTGGTTGCGCGCTGGCAGCACAGACTCAGTCACATTTCATTAGCTTGATGGGATACCCAAAAGGTTCTGACAGCATCCTGGCTGTGATCGGTGTTGCCCCGGGTGATGGGGACATACCTGTGGCTGCCTTGTGTACTCTGTGGGCACGTGGTGAAGACTAAGCACACGTAGCAGCTGAGGCCTGGCAGCTACGGTAGCTAAGGTTCTGGGTGTCCCCGCCAGCCGCCGCCTCACCATACACGTCTTCAGCAATAATAAAACTCACTCTCACTTTTTTTTTTTTTTTTGCTCTTTTATTTTACTCTCACTTTCACCGTCTCATGCCCTCTCTCCCTCTCTCCTGCCCACACACACTCAATTTACACAGACATGAAGGGAAACAGTGGGTGATTCTGTGCCATGGTGAGCTCAGTGCTAACTTTGAATGCTAACCAAAAGTCCATTTGGAAAACTGTAGACTTTGTTACTTTTGGAGGCTAGCCGTTTCCCATGCTTTCGGCCTTTTATGCTATGCTAAGCTAACCTGCTGCCATACAGTTGTGAGAGGGGTCTCGATGATCGTAATCTTGCGCTTGTCAAGAAAACAAATGAGCATATTTCTCAAAAAGTTATTCTAATGCTTTAATATTAGTAGACCTGTCCTGAGCTATTTTTTTTTGTTCTGTCACATTAGCATTTTTTCTGACCCCAAATGTTCTTATGCTCTAAAAAAAAAAAAGAAAAGTAGGATGCGTCAGTTTTTGTTCTATCCATGTGTCCAGTTTAGGACGACAATGAAAATGAGCCTTCAGTCTGCTGCATTTATATTCAGTCCCCTCTTAGATGTCTCTCTCTGAGGGGTCTTTGGAAGAACACATGTTTTTAATAAGGGTCTTTGCGTCTGGCCTTGCATAAATGTTTAGCAGCGTTCCTTCTGGGAACTGGGGCCTGTCTTTACAGTGGAGGCTAATCAGCTGTAAATTCTCTTTTAAAAAGGAAAAGGAAGGCATGGAAGGAGTTAATCTCCAAGGCCCATTGCACTCTTATGTCTCACCCTGTATTCTCTCTCTCTCTCTCTCTCTCTCCCTACACA